TCTATCTATCTATCTATCTATCTATCTATCTATCTATCTATCTATCTATCTATCTATCTATCTATATTTATTTATTTATTTATTTATATACATACGGTATATATATTTATAATTTTCCTGTTTATGTTTAAGTACAATGAACTTTGTTACTTTACTCTATGAACTACTGCTACTGACGTGTCCGAAATTCCATGCAAACATTTAGTATGCATTTGCAGAAAATGAGAAATGGTCAAAATGATGAAAAGGAGGCAGTGCTTTCACACATTAGATAATGCACAGAAAACAAATTCATATTTATTTAGAAACAACAATACTAATGTTTTAACTCAAAGGGTTCAGAATTCCCTCCGCAGAATCGCCACCTTAACGTGGTGGAGGGGTTTGAGTACCCCCGTGATCACGGGGGCTATGTTGTCTGGGGCATTAGCCCCTGGTAGGGTCTCTCAGGGTAAACAGGTCTCGGGGAAGGGGTCAGACAAAAAGCGATCCAGAACCCTTGACAAAACAACAACCACATCAGGAAACCTCACCCCAAACAGGGAAACCAGGGACCTCCCTGGAGCCAGGCCTGAGGGGAGAGCTTGCCGGCAAGCGCCTGGTGCTCAAGCCTTGGATCCTGGGTCTTGGCCAGGCGAAGCCTGAAAGGACCTCCACGTGGACCCACCACCAGCGGGGAGGACCATTATGGTCGGGTGTGATGTATGCCGGGCAGCAGGCGAAGGAGGGTCCCTGGCTGTGCTGATTCCTTGCGACAAAGACTGGCTCTAGGGACATGGAACGTAACCTCACTCGCGGGTAAGGAGCCAGAGCTTGTGGGTGAGGTTGAGCRCTACCAGCTAGATATAGTTGGGCTCACCTCACCTCACAGCTTGGGCTCTGGAACCCAACTCCTGGAGAAGGTCTGGACTCTCTCCTACTCTGGAGTTGCCCAGAGAGAGAGGCGACGGGTGGGCGTGGTGATACTCACAAGCCCCCAGCTGTGTGCCTTGGTATTGGAGTTCACCCTGGTGATGGAGGGGGCTGTGTCTCTTCGGCTTCGTGCTGCAGGAGGGAAGGTTCTGACTACTGTTTGTACTTATGCACCAAACATCAGTTCAGATTACCCAGCCTTTTTGGAGTCCTGGAAGGGGTGCCATCTGGTGACTCCCTCGTTCTGCTGGGTGACTTCAATGCCCATGTGGGCAATGACGGACTTAACTGGAAGGGGGTGATTGGGAGGATCAGCCTCCCTGATCTGAACTCAAATGGTTTTCTGTTATTGGACTTCTGTGCCAAGCATGGGCTGTCCATAACAAACACCATGTTTGAGCATAGGGTGGTCCATTTAGTGTACTTGGTATCAGGCCACCTTAGGCCAAAGGTAGATGATTGATTTTGTAATCGTGTCATCTGACCTGCAGCCCTATGCCTTGGACACTCGGGTGAAGAGAGGGGCAGAGCTGTCAACTGATCAACACCTGGTGGTGAGTTGGATCCGGTGGCGGGGAATGCTGCTGGACAGACCTGAAAAACCCAAACATATAGTGAGGATGAACTGGGAAAGTTTGGTGGAGCCCCCTGACTGTGCGATCTTCAACTCCCACCTCCGGGAGAGTTTTTCACATGTCCCGGGGGGGTCGGGAACATGGAATCCGAATAGGCCATGTTCAGGGCTTTCATTACAAATACGGCTTCCAGGAGCTGTGGTCTGAAGGTCATTGGTGCCTGTCATGGSAGCAACCAAAGGATGATGGAGGCTATCAGGCTGAAGAAGGAATTGGCTTTCCCAGAGGACTCCTGAAGCAGTTGACAGGTACAGGGTGGCAAAGAGGGTTGCAGCTTCGGTGGCTGCAGATGCAAAAATTTGGGCGTGGGAGGAATTCGAGGAGGCCATGGAGAAAGACTTTTCATTGGCCTCGAGGAGGTTCTGGCAAACCGTTCCGACGACTCAGAAAAGGAAGGTGTTCCCTGTCCCAGGCTGTACTTGGCTTGGGTGGGGAACTGCTGASCAGGCCTGAGGATATCATGGGGTGGTGGAAGGATCTCCTGAATCCACCCTTCATGTCCACCTTTGAGGAGGTAGAGTCTGAAGACTCGGGGAAAGATGAGTCCATTACTATGGCAGAGGTCACCGAGGTAGTCAAAAAGCTCCTTGGTGGCAGGGCGCCAGGGATGGAGGAGATTCGCCCCGAGATGCTGAAGGCTCTGGATGTTGTGGGGCTTTCATGGTAGACATTTCTCTTCAACATCGCATGGAGAACTGAGACAACTCCTGTGGAATGGCAGACCGGGATGGTCGTTCCCATTTTTTAAAAGGGGAACCAGGGAGTGTGTTTTAACTATCATGGACTCACACATCTCGCCCTCCCTGGGTAAGTTTACTTCAGGGTGTTGGAAGGGAGTTACGAACGATTGTCGAACCTCGGATTGAGGAGGAGCAGTGTGGCTTCAGTCCTGGTCCTGGGACAGTGGACCATTTCTTTACCCTTGCAGAGTTGCTAAGGGGGTTGTGGGGGTTTGCCTCTCCATTCTACATGTGTTTTGTGGACTTGGAGAAGGCTTATAACCGTGTTCCTCAAAGCATTCTGCGGTGGGTGTTGCGGGAGTATGGGGTATCTAGGTTGCTACTAAGAGCAATCCAGTCCCTATATAACCAAAGCAGGCGCTGTGTTTGCATTTTTGGCACAAAGTCAAGCTTGTTCTCAACGCGTGTCACAAAGTCAAGCTTGTTCTCAGCGCGTGTTGGACTCCGCCAGGGCTGTCCCTTGTCTGCAATCCTGTTTGTAGTGTTTATGGACAGGATCTCAAGGTGCAGTCGTGGAGAGGGTTGTCTGGTTTGGGACGTGTCCCAAACCGTGCGATAAGAGTAAGATGTCCATGCTTCCAGTGACAACCATAAAACAGAGAGCAATGCAGGGCAGTACCCTAGGAGCCCCTCCTTACCGGGAGCTGAGAGTCAGGCTGTGGAGCTCAGTGGGGCTAAAGACTTATCAGATCGAGCTGCTGGTTCAAAGGTTGATTCAGCTATACAGATGCCAATGCTGCTGAAGTTGTGTGTTTGCCTGTTTGTGCGTGTGATTGTGCTCAAGTGATAATAGCGTCAATGCTAAAATGCTAATACGAAGCTGTAACAGACGATCATGTTCCACTCGCTGACTGCTGCAGGGGCGTGTCTGAGAGAGGCTTTTATATCAGAACACAGCAAGTGTGACGAAACCATGGAGAAGTGAAGTCATCATGGAAAGCCGTTAACCAATATGAAAATGAGACTGCAGTACCACTGCTCAGCCTATAGTATGCAGCAAAAATAAGTTTTTAGACCAAATATTGCAGATTTGAACAAATACTAGACACTAGATAGTTTATCAGCTAAATAAAATGTTAATTTTGGGGTAAGTTACACTTTAAGCAGACTGTGTTTGTCTATTGTTGTGACTTGGAAGAAGATCAGAACACATTTAATGACCAATTTATGCACAAATCCAAGTAATCCCAAAGGCTTCACATACGTTTTTATGCAACTGCACAGCAAAAATGCTAGTGTTAATTTAACACCAACAAAGTGTCTATATGTCCACACTCACTGGTGTTAAAAAAACATTTGTGAAAGTGTTAAATTTTAACACCCATTTTGTTGTTAATTTAACACCAACCAGTGTTTAATATTCAACAATACTGGGTGTCACATTAACATAAAATATAGTGTTAGTAACACCAGCCAGTGTTAAATGTCATATTAACAATTTAACAGTTTTAAAATAAAAGTGTCAAGAGTAACACCAGTGTATTATTATTATTATTATTAACAAAGGAAATTATGGTGTTAAAATGTGAAGAGGCACCACAAGGTGTCAATACACCATCAACTTGAGAGTGTAAATTTAACACTCAGAATTAATATCAAACTCTCAGTAGTTAGTACACAACTATAATGGAGTCACCCTTCACACACCAGGACATACCTCTCACTCATGGTGTCGATTTTTGGCCAATAACACAAACTTAAAGTTGAACAAATTGATCAAACTGAACAAGAAAACTAAATAGAACAAWTTTTTACTTTCATGAATGTCTTTAATAGCATAAACATGCAAAAACATAATTTCTGCAAAATTTCTCAACAAGGAATGCTGGGTAAATACTGGTCTGTCTGATATGAGGCGGAAGAGGGCGGGGCTTTTCAGAATACTTCTTTCTACACTGCATGGTGTCATATAACAACACTGTTAAGTTGTTAAGTGTTATATAAAACTTAACAGTGGGCAGAGCTTATTTAACACTGTCCAGTGTTGAGACAACACTGAGGAAATGAACAATGTGAATTAACACCAACACTGGGTGTCAATTTACTCAGAAAATGTTAAAATAACACTAGGGGGTGTTAAATCAACACCCAAAAGTTTAACACTGAAATTTTAACACCTGTTTTTGCTGTGTGTAGTTATTGTTTTAGGGCCCAGCCCTGCTTCAAACATGAACAAGATTTAAGACTTTTCTAACTTTTCTCCACATTATGAACATGTCATTCTTCTCCTGGCTGTAAAACCTCTTCTAGATCATTTGGTGAAACTTTTCTCCACCTATGACAGAAGAACATCAGCTCAGCTTCTGTGAACTTTCATGTGACGAGTAAGCTGGTCCTTTCTGTAAAAACGTTTCCCACAAGTTTTACAAGAAAATGGCTTCTCTCCTGTGTGACACATCATGTGACACTTCAGACTTGATGAATATTTAAAAAGATGTCCACAAGTTTTACAAGAAAATGGCTTCTCTGCTGTGTGGATCAGCATGTGATTTTGAAGATGTACTTTTTGATAAAAACCTTTTCCACAAGTTTTACAAATAAATGGCTTCTCTCCTGTGTGGATCATCATGTGACACTTCAGATTGAACTGATGTTGAAAAGCTTTTCCACAAGTTTTACAATAAAATGGTTTTTCACCTGTGTGGACCCTCATATGTCTGATTAAGTGACTATAAGCAAAGATCTTTTTCCCACAGGTGGGACAACAATACATCAGTTTATTAGAGTTCTGGTTCCAGACTCTGTGGACCTTCACATGATGGTAATGCAGTGATTTCTTTGAAAAAGTTTCTCCACAGATTAGACAAGAAAACAACCTCTCAGATGTTGCTGATTGGCCTGCATGGTTACCATGATGACCCTCTGTGTGATCCATCTTCTTATCTGACCCTGAATCCTGATCCTGGTCCTCAGATCCAGTAGACCTCTGAGAGATGAGCTGCTCCTTGTCTGGTTCTGGTTGACTTTCTTCATAAAAAACAGTCACCAGAACCGGATCAGTCTCCTGCTTCAGGTGGAGCTGATCTTCHTCCTGATTGGTGCAGAGCTCCTCATCCTCTACTTTGATCTGAGGAGGTTCTGGTTCCTCCTGGTCCTCAAACTGTGAAGGTTCTGGTTCCTCTCGGTCCTCAATCTGTGGAGGTTCTGGTTCCTCCTGGTCCAGGCTTGAGTTCCTCTCCAGCTTGCAGAGCTTCTTGTGGACCGGTTCCTGTTGCAGGTCTGAAAGGACAAAAAGACAAAACAAAGAGATTAAATATGAAACATAAATGTTCAGTCAGGATCTTCTTGGTTTTTATCTTCAGAAACAAACAAAAAGACTCAAAAACTCAGAGCTGAAGAGAAATATTTTCTTTTTTCTACTTTCAGACTTCAGACTAGAACTGGGTGATTATTTGATTGTGATTATTGATCGAGACAATTCAAGTCGATCACTGTGATCAGCTGTGAGCCTCTTTACTCGATCAAACATGGCAGAAATGTGTGTGACAACAGCCACTAAGATTCCACGTCCTCCTGCTCCACTTTCATTTATAAATTGCTAAAAAAACCTGGATAGAATCAAGGAATTGACCAAACAAAGTGTGAATCTTACAGAATATGCTTATTTGTGCAGGTTTCTGTATAATTTTGTCCACTTTTGTTACATGCTAACAGGCACGTGGGGTGAGGAGGGAGGGAGATAAAAAAAAGAAAAGTTACCTGACCTGTGACCCACGGCAAACCCACTGAAACAGAAACGTCCTCCAAAAAATGTCCCAGTGGTGTTTTTTTTTTCTTATAAGCCACTTCAGTAGAAAACAGAACTGAATATTAGTTTCTTCATCATCGACAGTAGAAAAAGAAAAGACAAGAAAAAGGAGAAAAATTCCGGTCTTCTCTCACCTTATAACCCCAGACGCAACTTGCGATCACAAGACCAGAATCTTCTCTTGGTCCCCCGTACTCGCTTCAAGACCCGTGGTGACTGTGCCTTTTCCTCAACGGCTCCTAGAATGTGGAACGCCCTTCCGCCCTATCTAAGATCTCTTGATAACACTGACTCCTTTAAAAAACTAATAAAAACACACCTTTTCACTCAAGCATTCAACTGGATATATTCAACACCTCACAACTTGATTTTATAAGCCCTGTGTTATTCCGGTTTAGTATCCAACCCTTCCATCTATATAAGGGTGAGAGATAAATTGAATTGTTTCAAATATTGAATATATTGAGCATATAATTTGTACAGTTATTGTAATATATTTGCTTTTTCTTTCTGATAATGGATGTACAGTACCTTGTGAAATCCTTTTCTGTGAAAATAAACTTTTACTTTACTTTACTTACTTACTTAAATATAATGGAAAAGATTAAAAGAGAGATTAGAAGATATGAAAAATATACACCAAGAAAACACAAGACAACACACCCGACATCGTGGAGGAGGAGGTGGAGGAGGAGCAAGATGGCGGAGAGAGTAGTTGTGTGTTAATTCTTCTCCAGAGAAAAACGCTGAAAATACACTGAAGAAACCCTGAAAAGAAAGAAGCGGATCACTTTGGCATAAGTGGTGGAGCCCGTGACGGCGTGGAGAGCCCGTGGCGGTGTGGAACCCGTGGCGGCGAGGAGAGACGAAGGAGAGACCAGAGTCTGATTGAGGAAAGGACCCGCAACGTGTTGGAGCTCATGGCGGCGTGGCGTGGTTCGTGGCGGCAAGGACAGACCGGCGTCTGAGCGAGAAAAGGCCCGCGACATAGAGAAGTCCGTGGCGGAGAGAGTAAGAGCCGCCGACATTGGTGAGAGGAGAGGACATGCAACCCTGTGGTGAGAGGCAGCTGACGGTGGAAGAAAGCAGTTAGCCAGTGTGCTAATCCAGGAAATTGCCGAGGGAAATTACCACCAGGCCCATACAGGAGAGCCATGACGAAACGTAAAGGGCAGGGAAAAGGGTTAGACTCGGAAAACAACCCAGACAACATGGAGGAGATTAAAAATTCTCTAAACTTTAGGAGTGCAGAACTTTCGAAGTCCACCTCACAGAAGGAATGTCTGTTTAATCTGGTTGAGGAGGTAAAGCAGCTGAAAGTTGCAATGAGTGATGGAGACAGAAAGATAGCTGAACTAGAGAGAAAGGTGGATGACCTGAAGCAGTATTCACGAAGAGAAGACTTGGTGATCACTGGACTTGAAGTAAAGCACAGAACCTACGCTCAAGCTGTAGTAAATGGAAACACCACAGTTGATGCTTCCCAAGAAGATCTGCTCACTCTGGAGCAATAGGTTGTGACTGTTTTGCAAAATAAAGACATAAACATCAAACTTGAAGACATTTCAACCTGCCACACCTTGCCCACTAAATCAGGAAAAAACAAACCATCCATTGTATTCAGATTCATTAATAGGAAAACGAGAAATAATCTGATGGTACAGGCAAGAAAACTGAAGGGAACAAATGTCTTTATAAACTAACATCTAACAAGAAAAAATGGTAACAGCGAGTGAGGCAAGATCACTAAAAAAACAAACAAAAAAGGATATTAGCAACTTGGACACGTAACGGTAACATCTGGATCAGAGATAAAGAAGGTTCACAGGCAAAAATAATAAAGGAACTAAAGGATTTGGAAAGATTTACAGTAAGTGAGTTTAGGAGGAAATCATCGAAAATGAAACAACCTGGTACATAGGAGTTAATAAAAACAGAAAATGGATACAAATATTAAAACATGAACATATACCATGACTCTGAATCTAAAATATATAACCTAGATGATCAGATTGAGTCAAATTTTTCTCCATAATCACTGACTGTGATTACTATAATGAAGAACAATTTAACAATATTAAAAGGACAAAAGATGACCTCTCTATTATTC